AACCTACGATGACAAGCGAACCGTCTCGTAACAAATTGGTGACAGCGGTAGAGATTTTGTGAAAATTTAGTTGTTCCGTGGAATAGCATTAAAATGTCTCTTTAGTTAAGATGTAAGATTGGAATCTTGAGAATAAGAAGTATTCTACTGATACAGTAAGTGATTTATTTTATCTTATATTTGTTTATACAAAAGTATTAACTACGATAATAAAAAAATCTAAAATAATTTTCTAATAAATTTAAATATAAATTAAACAAGATTGTAATAAGACAAAGACATTTAATTGAATAAGTTTGTAAAAATTAATTAACAACAACAAAATAATTTACACTTTTTTGAAAACTGACTAGAGCATAGTTTTAACTTCTTTTGAAATTCATTTACAAAACTAATAAATTTATTTATAATAATGGCAGAATCACAAGAAATAATATATTAATAAATGGAAATAAAAGTTAGAAGTAAATTATTATATGATTAGAAAAATTAAATAATATTTAATAAGCTTGTAAAAATAATTAATATTAAATGTACACGGATTCTGAGGATATAAATATATACACAGCCGATGTTATGACTGACGATTTCATAAATGTTTATATAATACTGTTTTGCTTATTTTAATACGATTTCGATATACCCAGGAACGAATTAACCATATTATAGGAGGGATGATTATACGTTCTAATGAATCTATTATTGTGATGATACGCTATACATACTCAAAGAATCAATGAGTTTACATGCGCTCGCATGCATGTGTATGTGTGTACGAGGATTAAACAATGTATTATCATATAATAAAAAATGCACGAGCGTTTAACTAAATGTTAGAATATAATATTTATAATACAATGACCCCATAGTAGAGACTATAGAAAATCCTTATATCATGCAAAAAAATTTAATTGTTTAAAGAAATTCTTAGAAATCGCTATATTTGTTTATATATGCACAGAATTTAGCATAAATATCATGTTTATTTTTGAGACATTATTAAATTTATTTTGTGTTTTTTATTTTCTATCTTTTTTCTATTAAATCCTTTTCTATTTCTCAATAGAAAAGAGAAAAGTTAAAAACGATAATTACAAAGTAGTATAAACATATAGTTTAGATTTTAATAGTCATTGGGCGTTCATTGATACTTATAATCAATGGGAGTAGTCGAGCATTTTATACAATTAGTAGGTCAGTATATAGAAAAATATACGGCATAAGTTCTTCTCTGTGGACTCTCTCTACATTTTTATTTGTAATAGTGTTTATAAATTATAAAGCGGTTATTGAGAGTGTTACTTTTTCAGAATTTTGCAAAATTTCTATAATGCGCGACGAACAATAATTGTTTAAAACAAAACGTTTGATCTTCCTCGATAGAAAAGAATAGAAAAAAAAAATAAATAAATTTTACTAATATTTTTGTATGTGTATTACTCTCTCTCTCTCTCTGAAGCACTAAAAAATTAAATAAAAATCAAAATAAATCAAATTAAATAAATAAAAAAATTGTTTTTCAAGAAGTTCCAAAATTTTTTAACAAGATATAATGAAAAATAATAATAATAATAATAATTTTCTATTTCGAATAGATGCAGCTTTGATAATTTAGAACGCATGATATGTAAAGATTATGAGAAATATTTGATTCCGAAGAAATATTTAAGCGTTGCTCCCAAAGGTCGATCGATTTCTAAAGAAAAGAAAGGAGGGAATACTTTGAAGATTTGAAACCGGTAAAGTATCGAGAGAGATCATGGCGATAGTCAACGTATCAGTAAGTGCGCGGGTAAACGAGCGTGTGACAAAAAAGACGGGTAACGAAGAGGAATCGGCTCAGGAACATCAACTGAAACTTCAAAGGACTCTTTGAAGCTTTCCGCCCCGGCGTTACTATTCCCAGATGTCGATGAGCCCGTATTACTATACCAACTATATCTCAGAAATGCACAACATTCTTAAATACATATTGCATTGTACGATAAAACCGGTTTCCTTTTGATTAAAATATAGGCAAACAAACGTAAAAGTATCTAAGTAATAGCATAACTAAATATTTCTATCGTAAAACTTTTGCTTCGAATATTTTCAAGATAATAACGAAGAACGAATGAGAAAGATTTTCATAATGGATAAAATTGATTCTCTATTTGGATCTACAGAATGGTTAGAAAAAAAAACTGTCACAAGCTGTTTCTTTTAAAACTAACAAAGATATTTATTTTATATTCGTAATAATTAAATAGAACAAAATTAATATAAAAGGGCAAATTTTTTAGGGCACCACATTTTTTTTTTTATTATAAACATGATTAAACCTCTTTTTATCCGATTGTATATTTAATAAAAAAATTGCGCGAAAATATCAGAAATCGTTTTAATCTCATTGAACAAAAAAGTAATACTAAAGGGGGGAGGATAAAAGTACTAGCAAGGTAACTTACACTTCGCTCCTATACACAAACAGAGAGGGGTGGATAATTACAAGTAGTAAAGGGTGACGACCGTATCTTTTTTCTGCTCAATTACTTTCGTTTAACGAAATACGCTCGGGAGTTCACAATTTCATGATAATTCGAACAGAAAAAATTCATTTTTCAAAAATAATCTACGTTATTTTTCACGACATAACGAACGGTTGGAATAAAAATGATGTGAACTTTGAGCCGTCGTAGAAGCGAATAGCAGTTTGTTTTTCGTTTGGTTTCTTTTTTCCTTCAGAATTTTACAATGTTATCTTGAAATATTAACAATACAAATAACCCAAAAGACCCTAAAAGCCAAATTGATTTACTATTCTTATATAAGATAAAAGATCCCATTTTTGACTTCTTATAAAAACAGAATACTCCCTTTAAGATATTAAGTTAAATGAAATAAAGTAAAGTAACGTGATCGATGATTCAATTGAACCTTACCATTTGATTTTGAATAGTGTTAGGATACCAATTTGGTAGCTGGTGAACCTAAAATAATCTTCTTTTAAATTATCTAAAGTCAGACTGTGTTCTTAGAAACGGCAAGTCGTCTCTCCTACTACATGACAAAGTGGCGCGGTAAATGCAGCATGTCGCTCGTTGCTGGCTGCTGCTGACTTCACGAAAGAGAAACCAGAAGCGAGGAACGACGACGACAACGACGACGAGAAGGCTCGTACTTCTAACGAAACAATCATCGTTGCTTTAAATAAAACTACCGCTGCATTCGAGGTCTCCATCGTTTTACAATCATCCATCCGTTCCTATCACCGTCGCCAGCCACTACACCTCTTTTCTCTCTTTCTCTCTCACAAATGAAACACTCAATGCTATGTATTCGTTTATATTTCGGTTTTATTGGAAATTCTTTTCAGATGAATACCGGCAAAACCGCAACCAACGTACGCACCATGCTTTTTAACGATTAGTACAATTGATTTGATCAAAAGTTTCTCTTTCTATATACAAAATTCCTTATTATAAAGTATTCAAACAAAAATATTAGATTTTTAGTAATATGTGACTAAATTTATAATTAAATCTGGAAATATATATTCCTAAAAACTTGTAATACACTCTTCGTTAGCTTTGCAAAGTACCTATCCAAAAACCTAAGTTTTGCTTATAAAGCATTCCTATACGCATTAAAAATTTATTTCATCAATACATAAACAAATTAACTAAATAAAGATGCAAGTAGAATATTAAAGAAGCTTATTTAACCACACATTGGTCAATAATTAATTTGATCAATGGTTTAAAAATAGTATCTAACATATACTGCGTAAGCTTATTAAATCTATTATTTGATAAATAATACATCTAACTAAATAGACTTTAATAAATGAAAATGAACATTAAATTAGGTATAAATTTACATTTCTAATCTAATTGTAAGTCAGTTTTTTATTTACACGTTGAAGTCCAAGATTGTACATGGTAAGAAGCAAAAATATTTTTTCATAACATAATCTTATTAACTTAATAATTCAAAAAAGCCTTGTTATATCCTTAAATAGATTCATAAAACATTGACAAAACTTCTATTAATTCCAACATCATAGCGAACACATGATAATATGTTTTCTTTTCTAAGCAGAGCATTTAAATGATTCATCTTTTCCTTATAAACACACACTGGCTTAATAATAAAAAAAAAGCTATGTTATTTTCATAAAGTATTAATAGAGTTCCTATCAATCTGAACATCATAGCGAATACATGACAATATGTTTTTTTCTATATAGAATGTATAGTTGACCCATGTTTCCTTTACAAACTGGCTTCATCCCCTTCTTGTCTAAAGTATTACTTTGTGCTCCTTCCCCTTATTCTTATACCCTCTGGGCAAAATGCAAACTGCAGAAGCAGCACCAGTAGGAAAGAGTGAGGAAAAGAAAGAGGGCCAGATAAGAGAGAGAAAGAAGGACGGAAGGAAGGAAGGAAAGAAAGAAAGAAAGAAAGAAAGAAAGAACGAAAGGAAGAGAGAGAGAGAAAACACCAACAGAAGTGACATAGTGGAGGAGAGTGGGGTAAAAGCATGATGGACAAAGCCAGACGCATAAACATAATGAGAGAGAGAGAGAGAGAGAGAGAGAGAAAAAGATCACAAGACGATGAAGTAGCGTAGTTGGAGAGAGTAAAAAAATATCACAATTATCACCCCTATCTCAATTTCTTGCAAACAAGAATTTCTTCTAAAAGATCGTTAGACACGAGTAATTATGAAAACAAATTTGATGTATTATAGATAACTGTTATAGTATTTGTAGATAGACTGATATAGTTCAACTGAAATGCAAAAACGTCTTCCTCTGTATATGTACCTATCTTTCTTTCTTTCTTCTTTTCTATTTTTCTCTCTATCTCTGTCTCTCTCTTTATTTCTAGGAAGATGAGAAAAGGCGCGCGAGAATAGTTTGTCTTACGAATAGTAAAATGAACTAAAAAAAAAAAAAGAAAAATAAACAAATATACAAGCAAATGTAAGTGAAATATAAGATCGTACATGTGACTTACTGTTTTCGTAAACGGTAGAGGTCGTGTTTACCAATGCCACGACGGCGATGCGTTCCTTCGATCAAGCTGGAGGACGAGGAAAAGAAGGTGGTGGAGATGGAAGTCCATCCTTCGAAGGGTCAACTCGAGTTCGAGCTAAGATTCGAACGGTTAAGCTTGCACATCGCGTTTTACTATTACACTTTCTCTTTCTCAGCGGCCTCTTTCTTCTTCTTCTTTTTTCTTCCTTTTTAATTTTTTTACTTTCGGAGCAGCAACGATCCGGTATAAACTTCTTCACCACGCCAACGACAAAAGGACGATACACAAACCATACACGAGACGCACGAATGAAGGAACGAAAATGAATTTATTTATGCAGAAACGAATAAACGCACAAACGAACGCATGCACGATGAAACGCACGAACAAGCAACCGCACAACCGCACAATACCGTCGACTCCGCACCAAATGGATTCGTAAGAAACATATATACCACTATACTACCACTACACCACCACCATCCAACGCAACGACACGATGACGACGACGACGACGACACGCAACGACGGCGATGAAATTTTCAAGCAGTGGGGTATAGGTGAAGTTGTAGATAATACAACTGTGATCTCGAGACGACGACGGTGAATGCGCTTCACCGACAGGACGGTGATTCAATAGACGTATTATTGTATACGAAAATTTTCGTTTTTATAAAGAATTTCTTTTTTATCAGCGATGATTTTGTAACGATTAATTTGAAAATATTCCAATGACGATTACTGTTACTCCGAAGACAGCGACAAATACGATGACTATGACGATGACAGCGAAGACAACGACGACAGTCACAATAGCGGCGATGACGACGACGACGACGACGGCAACGGCGACGACGACGGCGACGACAGCCACAACAGCGGCGACGACGGCGACGACGACGACGTCTAAGCCATAGACGGCTTGGCTCGTGGGCCCGTCTCGGCCGCCATCGAGTACTGACACGAGTGCGCCACTATCACCCTCTAGCGGATTGCGTCGCTCTCGGAATCAACGGACTCAACCAATCAAATCTTTTTTTCTATTATTTTTTCTTTTTCCTTTTAACCTCAATGGTTAATTTTTCTGAATATTATCTATTAATTCATTTATAAGGATCTTATTTCTTTAATTTATTTTTATTTCTATTCTACAATAGGTTGCAAATTTCTTTTGTTCAATTATTACCAATTCAAATTTTGTTTATTATTTTCTTCATAAACATTGTCGTGTCACTTTTATTTTTAATATAAATTTTTCTTACTATTTAGATTAATACCTATATGTTTGTAATTGTATTATTTCGATATTGATATGATTTCGATTCGATATATTTAATTCGATATTGATGAATCCTCGTGATTGTTTAAATCCAACCAATCAGATGACGGATGCTAAGGAAAATATCGATAATTGGAATGTTTGATAAATCGATTTCAGTTAGTTTAAAGAATCTGACAGTTCACAGAAGGCAGCAGCACACGGTGACAACGTGATTTGTTTTCGTATACGGATTGTAATAAGGTTAATTGAAGAAGGAATATAAAATATTTCTCTAACGAAAAGTAATACCCTGAAAGAGTTAAACAGCCATCACATTTGCGATTGTGAATTTCCGTTAAACTAACCAGTAATTGTGGAGTTAAACGACTAGTGCATTGATATACTCTAATATCAGAGCATCACTTACTTTAAATTTTGATAAAACTGACATTTAAAACGACGAAAGCAAAGTTGTTCACCTAATTATTTAATATTTGATAATAATGAATAAATCTAATGTACAGTACAATTTTGAATACGATCATGAAATACAACAAAGTGGAGCCTTAAGTTTAACATGCTCCTTGGATATGATATAATGTCTAAAGAGTGCTAAATTTGTGGTATTACTTTTGATAATTTTATTTTCTCTTTTTAATCGAAAGAGAAAATTAAACAAATAACGTTCTTATTATCTTATTACAAAAGAACTAAAGTTTAGCACGGTAAGATTTTGTTTTAAGTTGAATTGAATCATAAAAAATAAAAAGAGAAACACTGGAAATGAGATGTATAAGTTTATTATCTATATAAGCAAAGAAAAACATACTGTATTTGTAAATACTTATAAATATAAGAACAAACAGTTTACATAAAGAAAGGAGATGATAATTCATTGATTTTAATATTAAAAGAAGTGTGGTCAATTACTTATGTTGACATATTAATGATTACACGACAAATATATATAAAATTATAAGATCGAGAATCTTACTTTACTTAACATGTTAAATGCTACAACATTCCCTTTAGACAGACCTTAAACTTTTCGTTCTAACCATGTCGAACATCATGCCTAAATGAAAGGTTCAACAAAAGAAGTTTAATGCTTAATGTATTAAAGAAGTTTTGTGTATGCATCAAAATAAAATACAATTAATTAAAATATACATGAAAAATTTTTTAGCAAAGAACAAAATCTTGTTTATAAACATTACTTACATTTTTCTTTAGATAATTTGTTTACACATTTTATTATTTTCTTGTATTTAGATTATAATTACTCTATATACATACAGAATTATATTAAATTTTCCGCTCTTTTTCTGCGCATGTATTTTTTCCCGGTGAGAGACTGTATTTCGCCATCAGATAGCGTGCATAGCGATGAATACTGTGAAAATATCAATATTTCAGAAGCAAATCAGCAACTATATTCTTCGTTAGGTGACAAAGAAACGATTATTAATTATTTTATTATAATAAAAAATAAAATAAAATTATTTTTACAATATTTAAACAATATTACTTTCATAAAAAAATAATCTTTTTACTTCGATTAATAATATTATTTTAAGCAACCGGAAATAATAAGAAATTGAGAGGGAAAACGAGTATTTTTAGGGAAAATGCGTAATACTATTGATTTATGTCAAGAAAGTCTAATTTTCTACGGTTAGCATTTAGGCGAATTTTACACATTACCGATTGGCATTATTAAAAACGATCGTTTTTATACTATCATAAGAATAATCGTTGCGTAGAATAACAACTGACAAGGATGAATCCGCAAAAAAGGGGGCCGCCATTTTAAAGCGTTTAAATATCGTGGCGGCATTACGTTGTCCATGTGTCAATGATAAATATTAGTTGTAAGGTATATTAATTAAGAAAAAATACGAATAACAATGAGAAAAATTTTAGAATGTATATTTTTTTGAACAAGAATTTAATTCATGCAACAAATAATTAAAAAATTCATTTCTATCGGAAATACGACAGATGTAGTACAGTCAACAAACGAAGTATTATCCTAACAGTGAGGAAACAATCTTTTTTGATAGTTTAAACGGTAAAATCGGACTAAGCGCTTCATGAGAAATATTTAGATTTTAAAAAATTGATACGATTTTGCGAAGAGAGTTAATATTTTAAATGAACCGTTCAAAAGTTATTTACCTCTTAAGGTTATATATTATTACCGCCATTAGGACCATTTTGAATGTTACTGTACTTGCCAACGAAGAAACCAAGTGGTCGCTTCGAACAGTCGCGGCCTAATAAAATATCGTACTGATTGGGTGCAATTATGCTCGAGGACGATCGTTCCTGAAATACAAGAAATTTCTTTGTTTTCTTTTATTTTTGTTTACACATTCATGCATCTTTTTTTATGATGAGATTTTTCTCAATATGTTTTTCAAGTTTAAATTCGTTTAGGTATCTATTTGTTTATTAGTCGTAAGAATCTAGCAAAAATAGGATATTCCGTAGCAGTACAAATGATAAAACGTAAACCTGTCACGGTGGATAAGAACATTTTTAAGAGAGAAAGAGATAATGAAAGTGAAAGAGAGAAAAAAAAGGACAAAGTGATGACGAATGAAATAAAGAAGGAAAGAGATAGAAGATAAATGCGTTTCTGCTATGAACTTATAACCTTCGTACAAAGTGTACGAAGATATAAAAGCTTATACGATCGAAATAAATTTGGTTAAGAGAGAAAGAGAGAAAGAAATAGGGAGAGGGTATGCTTTGACGATGCCATATCGAGCGTTGCTCCGAATGAAGAGCCTTTTTTAATTGTTTACGTAAAGCCTCGCATCCTGATTGTCATACGATGCGACTGCATGCTCAACGCTCGAAACCCGGACCGGTCGCTTCGGTACAGACGCTTACAATAAGCCTATCAGATAGATGACATTAAATGAAAATTCGTAGGCTTTAATTGCAATGTTGTGCATGGGGCATAATAAGAAACTTGTAGAGAAAAAAAAATTGGCCCGATTTGGTGTATATAATAATCGTGTTAAATAAGGTAGAAAGAAGTTATGGATAATCGAAAGTGAATTTTGTGAGATAGGAGAGAGCGTTAACGGAACTCGACTGTACCGCGGACGCCACTGGCAGCCACCAACGGTCGCTTGTAGTACAGTCAGTCGAATAAATATTTACGACTGGTCTAGGAAAAATTCGAAATCGATGGGTTCGATCGAAAAATTATGAGTGGGGCGTCATGAGAAACTTGTAGAGAATAAAAAACTAATACGATTTGGTGTATATTGTAAACGTTTTTAACGTAGCCCCATCAAGTTATCCGTATGCAAAGATAGGGAAGCCTAACGCGCGAGGATTAACTTTTACGAGTGAGTGTACCACGGGACGCTACGGGAGTCCGCAGCCGGCGTAGGTTCAGTTGGTAGCAGTACGCACAACGAGAAGCATTACCATGGCTGATATCTCTAAAGACGAGATCCGTAAGGAGATCACCGGTAAGAAAGGATATTCTTTGATATACTCCATTTCGTGCGGTGAATCTATCTCATATGTTATCCCATCAATTAATCCTATTAATTGCGCGTTAACCCGTACATCCGAATGAATAGGAAAACTGGCTCTTTCCTCTTGTGACGTGACGACTTTAGCGCGCACGTATGTGGCCAAGTGGCGTGCCCCACGCCGGCCATTACTAATCGCGCCGACCGATCCCGCTCGTATTTTCCATCTACGTAGGGAATCAACGACGCGTTTACTTTTATCGTGAATACGTCTACGTGATCTGCGAATTTTTCTGAAATTTTTTTGACTCTGCTAATTATCGCCATTTCTTCTTGGTTGCGACGCAACGAGCTTTCTTTTTCCCTCTATATCGTGTGTTGTATATATGTATATGTATATATGTATGCATAAATATATATATATGCATGTATGTGCGCGCGTGTGTGATGTATGTATGCGCGTGTGTACGTGTATATGGATGAGAGGTGCCTTCCTCCGCCCGCTATACGTCGTCGCGTTCGTGGCGCGCGAGCGAAGGTGCTCTTATACGTAGTGCGCCTATGTGTTTGTAGTATCTTCTCTCTCTCTCTCTCTCTCTCTCTCTCTCTCTCTCTCCCTCTTCCCCTCCCCCTCTTTCTCTTTCTGTCTTCATTTTTCTCCAAGATATTCTCTCTCTTTCTACGTCGCGTTTTACTTCAATACACGAATCTGTCTATTTTATTCGCAACTACACGGGCGGCTATGTTTTCACCTTTAACCTTACGTTTAGTCAATCATATTTTCTCTTTCTCTAAGTCCATCTTTCTTTTCGTGTTATTATTATTTTTTTTTTATTCCTGAGAATTTTTTGTCATTATCGTGTCTTACGTTGACGTCTACCTATCATCTACCTATCTACCAACCTACCTATCAACGCTTTGAGCGAGCGTGCAACCCTCCAACTACGCGAGTATTTGCGCCCGTAATCCATCCTTTCCCGCCATAGTCATTCATGATCGTCACAAGAGACGGAAAAGCGATGACAAAGCACGTAATATACTCGTATTTTAATTTTTTTTTTTTTTTTAAATATTTTTCTTCAAAGCAAGAAACAGAGAGAGACCAAGGAAATAAAGAGAAAGAAAGAAAAAGATAAAGAGAAGTTGATTTTTATCGCCCTCGACCGTCACCGCGATTATATGATTCTATCCTTCCCCCTCCCTTAAAGAATTTGCGGTTGTTATTTCAACGCGTATATAACGGATTATTCGAATTTGATAGTTCGATCGAAGTAATTGGTTTTTCATCGTTTTATCGGACAATAGTAATTCCTGTTATTCTGTTTACTTTCAGAATTATTTTCATTATCGGATTCGCGCGACCCCTCCGTTCGTCCAACCGGCATGCATTATAGCGATTCGTCGCCATTTGCACTCTGTATTTACAGAATACCGCGGCGGGAAATTTGATTGCCTTTAGTATCAGTTTATGTGTACCATGAACTTGAACATTGAATATTGTCTTTCGTTCCTATAAGATATTTCACTTTTTATTTTATTGATTAATGACTTGTTTTTTTTTTTATATATATTTTACATTGAACGAAAAAACGAAAATGTTTTGAATAAACTTTTTTTTATGGTTTTCCATATAAGCCCGTAATTATGACACCGAATTGAGTTTAAAAATTATAATACATTTATTTATGATTTATTTTGTAATAAAAATAATTGTGATAAAAAATAAATCAAAATCAATTCAAAAAATTTATTTACTTTAAATTAATCCATTATCATAATTATAGTTTAATTTCTTGTTCTTTTATTTTAAGATTATCAACATTTGCAAGGCTAATAATAGAATAACAATTATATAAATTACTTTTTGCAAATAAACGGATAAACTTGTTATTCATTTAATCTTTTTGCCAAGATGCTTTATTAGAACTTTCTTAGCAGTAAATGAAGTAAATATTCTTATTATGGTAATATATTCGTGGATATAATTGATGTGATATATAGTAACTGGTCATATAATATTTACAAACAAATAATAAAAATGAAAGTCTTGAATATTTATTTGTTGAAGAACATTATAATTATCTTTGAACTATTACGAGATGTGTGTTATCATTAATTGTATATTTTTCAGCAATTTTAAAAGATGCAGACCTTACTACAATGTCAGCGAAGAAAGTAAGACAACAGATAGAAAAAAAGTTAGATGTAGATCTCACAGCAAGGTAAGCAATGCATATATTTATACTTTAACAAGAACAAAATTGAAGTTTTCTGAATAAGTTTCTTTCTTAGTAAATTTGATTAATTTGTGGTGTGTGTTGTGGATGCAGCAATTACTTCTACTTGTTGATCTAATGTAGGAGAGAATATCTTGTATCCAAGAGTAAAATGAGGAAATCTGAATGAAATTTGTTTGTCATAAATTTTCATCTCGTTCCTCCTCAAACAAATAATTAGTCATATTTGTATTTTAAGAAAACATACTAGTTGAGATATTATAATTTGAAAATGAAATCTATTACATTGTTAAATTTCTTATGCAAACGTGTTTTTTATTATTTATATAGAAAGGAGGAAGTAGATGATTTAGTTATGGAGTGTTTACAAGAAAAGCAAGACGGCGGAAAGAAAAAGAAGAAGGCTGCTAGTGAAGAATCAGAAGACGGAGAGGAGGAAGAGGAAGAAGGTTCAGAGGAAGAAGAAGAGGAGGAGGAAAAGAAGCCTGCAAAGAGAAGTCCAACTAAGAAAACATCCAGTAAGCGTAAGAAGGATTCTTCTGCTGATGAAGAAAGTGCTAGTGACGAAGATGCCAGCGACGAAGAGTATAGTCCACAAAAGCCAAAGGCTACACCTAAGAAAGGTACGAATAATTTTAAATTGTTTATCTGTTATTTTATTCTTCTAAGGTGGTTGTTAGTGGTTTACTTTACTTTTTAATACATTTTCATTTTTTTATCCTATTAGGAAAACCTGGTAAAAAGGGTAAGAAAAAAGGTAGCGATAGTGATAGCGATGAAGATTGGGGTAAAAACAAAAAGGCTCCTGGAAGCACTGCTAAGAAAGGTGGCGGTAAGGGCAAGGGTGGAGGATATACTCGTGCTATTACATTATCTCCTGAATTAGCAGCTGTTGTGGGTGCCGATCAAATGGCTCGACATGAGGTTGTTAAGAAAGTATGGAGTATTATCAAAGAAAGGAATCTTTATGTGAGTATTTGTATATCTATGTAGTCATATATTTAAATTAGACTTTGATATTTAAAATATATGCTTAATCCTTTTATGCAACATTCTTTATATTACAGGACCCGAAAAACAAACAATTTGCAATCTGTGATGACGAATTGATGAAAATAATAGGTGTTAAGCGTTTTAGAACCTTTGGAATGATGAAGTACCTCAAAAATCACTTTTTAAATTAAATCACTCAATCCCGATCTCTGACAGGTTATAAACATTGTATAACATATTCCAAGGCGAACTGTGCGCCTCCATCTTTCTCACACAATACATGCATAAATACATATACATGAAAACACAAAACATATTTGCGAATAAGACTAGCCATGTTTACATCATTCCGATGTGCTCTGTGTCGATCATGATAACGGCTCTTTCTTTCTCACTTAATCACTCTCTCTCCCTTTTTCTCCGTCTCTTCTAAATATTGTATTTAATTTTTATGATTTATGGGAATAGTTAAAAATTCTTATAAAAAAAAAAAGGTAAATATAAGTTTAAACGAGAACGTCCCTTTAATGTTATAAGTAGAAACTTAGAGCTGTTATCAAGATCTTTAAATGATTTCGAAATGTGGATGATAATTGAGGTGGCCAAGGGATTACTAAACTGATCTTATTTTGTTACATTTAAAATGTTATATCTTATAGTCCGCGCGGTGGTCTCTTATAAATAACTTACTTGTGATTTACTTTAATATTTGTACACCACGGCTTTTTAAATATGACTGTTGTGTATACCTATTTAAAATTGAATTAAAAAGTTTTTGTTTATTTTTATCAAGTAATGTATTTTTTCAAATCTTCAGAAACATAGATTTTATTTATTTAATTAACATAATTATCTGTATAGGATAACCTAAATAAAATAATGTTTACTTTTAGTGTTGTAAAAACATTTGGACATGTTTTATCTTTTATAGCTAATTCGCTCTAAGAAACACAAATCACGTATTGTTTTCAGGAATACTTATTAAATAATCGTCTCAAAGTTTGGAATCCTTCACTATAGTCAGCATACTTGAACTCTGTTGAAAATCTACAGTATGAGTTAGGTTGTAGCATAAGAAAGATACCAATAAGATCAAAATAGGAATTAAAAATATGTTAACCGGAAGAATGGAGACGAATGCCAGAATATTTAAAGAAAATTATTTTAAACATGCCAAAAGTGTGATTGCAACATGTTTTTGAACAAAACTAGAGTCAAACCAAATATTAGAATTATTATAATTCTATTTACTTTTGTTAATACTTCTGGAATAATATTGTTCTTTCTTAGATATCCATAGATATCTAATTTATTAGATATTTTTGTAATACGAAAAGTTAAGTGTTTTTGTTTTTGTTATGCTATATAGATAATTATGTCAATTAAAAAAATAAAACATATGTTTCTAAAACCTAGAAAGAGTGTACTAGTTGATAAAAATCATGAAAATGTTTTAATTCGACTCTAAGTGTACAGAGAAATCATATTTAAAAAGTCATGGTGTCCGAATATTAAAGTGAGTCACTGGTCATGGAATATTCAATAAAAAAAAAGATGTATTGTGGCTATGAAAATAAGATGTTCATAAGAAAAAATATATTGAGACATACAAAATTGAATAATAAGAATTGAACACGTCTGAATAATTGTTTTTAACAATTATTGTTAATTTTATTATGTGACATCTTTATCTCTCATTGATTTATAACTTTCATATATATCTTATTATTATTAGTACCACTATTATTACTACTACTACTACTACTATTATTACTACACTACTACCTTTGAAAAAGTTCTACTTAGTTAAAAACAAAGTGACCGCCCAATGTTATATAAAAAGAAAAATCATTGTTCTATTTTGAACTTGGGAACTTGTGCATATTGTTGTGCTTTATATACGGTCGGCACAAGTCTTATTATTTTACATATGTTGTTTTCAAATTAATTTTAGATTTCATTATAAACAATTTAATATTCGAGAAGATTATATCTGATCATAATCTTATTATATGCATATACATTGTTTCTTTTTTGCCACCAAAGGGTTAAAGAAAATACTTGAAGAAAAAGGTTGATCGAATAGAGATAAAAAAATGAAAATTAAAAAGATAGAGAAAGGGGGAGAAGACGAAGGAAATGAAAAATAAATAATAATAAAGAAATAAAATAAATAAATAAATAAATAAATAAATGAATGAGTAAATAAATAAATAAAGAAAGGAAAAAAAAAGAAAAAATGGACAGATTTACGATTATGCAAAATAAACATCCTGTACCTTTTCTGTATAATAGCTACATTATACACTGAAATTAATTCTTAAGCGAAGTTTAATTGTATTATCGTGTAATTAATATTACTGTCGTAATAATAGGTTTCTTGGTGTAAAAAAATTGACCTAACTTTTAAGATCTAATCCTAAAGTGATGTGTATTCAGTAAAAAGTTAACGACGTATACATTAAAAAAACATNAATAATAATAATATTAATATTAATATTAATATTAATAATAACGATAATAATAATATTATTAATAATAACGATAATGTGCTTGAAGCGAGATCGCAACACAATATCGAAGAAAAAAGTTAAAAAAAATTAAGTAATAGATTTCTCTCTCTCTCTCTCTCACGGGCGAGGTGTGGAATGTAATTGCCGGCTTTTTTTTAACGGTTTGTCCGCTCCTCATCGTCGTGGTGGAAGAAGTTAAAAAAAGAAGAAAGAAAGAAAGAAAAAAGAAAGAAACAAACAAAAAAAATGTGTGTATTTTGAATATAAATTAAGAAAATGCTATGGCCTACTGTAATCGTGACTGAGGAAAAAAGAAAAAAAGCCACATGGGAGAATTCATAGCGACGAAAACAAGTTCTTCTGTTTACTTTTTTTTTTTATTATTTTGCGTAAACAAAATAAGAATAACACGAAAAGAAGAAAAAAAATTAATAAAATCGAAAAAAAAAATATGATAATGATATGTGTAAACGGAAAATTATATATTATGATATATTATATTATTAATAATAATAATGATGATAGTTTTTTTGTTTCTTCTTTTTTTCTCTCTCTCTCTCTCTCTCTCTCTCTCTCTTCTATCTCTTCTATCTCTCTTATTTCTCTCTTTCGCACTTTTTCATGCTCTTGTGTTAAGAGGAATAACATATGGCTCAAGCAACGCGCTGCTGTTGTTTTCCGTAAATGTAATAAAAAAAAAAAAAAAAAGGAAAAACCGTCTCATTAAAAAGTATTGCTTTAAAATTTTTTTTTTTTAGGAAGAAAGTAGAAAGAAACAAAAAGCATTTCTCGTGTCACCATTTATTTCCACGTTATTTATCATAATGTATGTTCCTCATTCTTCTGATATTATCCCATAATTTTTAATAAACTCAAATTAAATCAATCGATCTATCATTCAATCAATTAATCAATCAATCAATCAATCAATCAGTCGATGATGATGAAGAATTTTTATTGAGTTTTCTTAATTTTTTTATAACGAAAAACTACCAACGTTTTTTACGTTTGTAAGTTTTGCTAAGATAGTGATGTGAAAAAAAAAATAAAAAAGCAAAAAAAAATAATAGAAAAGGAGGTGGTGGTGGTGGTTGGGTTTGGGATTTCTAAGTGGAGTTTTCTAAGTGTTCAAGTTTCTCTTCGAGGAAAGAGATAACGTGCTGGTTGTTGTCGCGTCTTCCTCGTAATCCAAAAATATAAGTTAGAAGTTTCTTCGTGTTCGTATAATTGTCTCTTTTGGTTTGTACTTCCTTGTCTTTCGGTGGTGTTGCTTGCACGTAGGCACCGCTTCTAAAGTTTGACAAATGAGTCTGCGTGCTACGCGTTGCGCGCTGTCTTACGTTAGCCTAAATATAAATAAATATAGGCGAGTTATGAATAAAATTGAATGAATAAACAGACAAAATGAATGAATTAAATAAAAATGAATCGTCCGTCCGCGAAGAAAAAGAAAACGTTTCTTCGATTACGATCGTTCTATGTTATTATTTAAGGAAAAATGTGAATTACCAAAGAGAGAGCTCTTCTTCTAAGTTCCCAAACATTCCAAATGTAATTTGTATCGTCGTTTTGTGGTGGTAAAATATGTGTATCAGTTTGAACCGTTTGATCCTGACAAGTCTTTAACTCTGATTCATCTTCCGTTAATCTTGTTATTAATTATAAATATGAATGATTTCAATAGTCCGATTTTAAAGTGTGAAATATTTTCAAATGATAATACGCGTGTTACCGTTAGTATTCCTAATTTTATTTGTTATATCGCAAATTTATTAATAAGAATATCAAGTTATTAAATGTTTTTGTTAATTTTGTACTTTAATCGGTCAGATTCGAAACTGTTGCTAAAAATGAAAGAAACTGTTTGAATGCAAACATAATTTTATCTTCCTTTTATCAACGCAAAGTTATGCCATTTAATTGCAAATTCCTTTTTCGTTTCTAATTTCAGTTTTGTCACAATGAAATGTTTTACTTAGCAAATATTAAATTCCTATTTACTATATATTATCTTTGCGTAATTGATACAAACTTTAAATTATTTAAAGTCATGGATATTTGACATTTTAATTAATTCATTCGCGATATAACAAAGTACGGGTATTTACAGTAACATTTACGGGGTGTTTTATTTTAATATTATCAAATTGATAGAATAATCTCTGATTAAAAATAAGAACAAAATTGTATAATATATAAATAAAGGAGCGTAAATCCTTCATTATACATTTATGACCAAGATAGCAACCATTGTAAATGACAAGAAGGGACGATACTATGAAAAAGAACGAACAAGAACTTAAGCAAACATGATTAAATCGATCGAACGAGAATACAGTCATTTATAATTTTGATATTTTTGTTATAATTTTGTAATCAAGTATTTATATGTCTTCTTATATTTATATTAAATTTTTGTCTCTTACTTTTAATCACGAAATATTTTTATATACTCCGTTTAACGGTACAAAAATGAAACACTCTATACATATATTAGGGTGTTTCGTTTGACTCACTCCTTATTTTTCACAGTTTCGATGTCCTCGTACATCTTGAATAAATAGACGTATTCTATGTGATCCCTGACAAAATTCAGAGCCTCTGCAACGCACCTGCAACGAATGAGAATAAGGACGATGAATAGAACGTTTTCTACAATTCTTCCGTTTACAAAGCTTACGTACATATACTTACTTATCTGGTTCCTTTCCAAAAAGACGAGCAGCTGCTGCTGAACTGAAAGCATAATACCTCCCTCGCCATTTAGCTACCCCATTGTTGGGATTTGCTGGAATTAAAGCTCCTTTCCCCGTTACGAACATCCAAGCGCAAAAACCGAGAAACTTTACGATTACATAATTCGTTATTTAATATAGTAATCAAATTATTACATATATATGTATCTTATGTGTATTTTGTTATTATTATTATTATTATTATTATTATTATTATTATTATTATTATTATTATTACAATATTATGGTAATATCGGCAAGTTTACCTCCAAATCGATTTTATCAAAATCCTTTGTATTGTTCGGATAATAAATAGTACAATCGCCACAATCTGCTAAAAATTTCAACGATAACATTAAATCGATAATGTCAATCTTATTTTCAAGTTTATACGTACGTGTATATACAGTGGAGAGCAAAAGCATCTGCACGGATTACATTTTTCTTATAACATCTTTTTTATTTAATTTTCTTTTCTCTCTTTTTTTTTTTTTTTTTTTTTTTTGTAAAATATATCTCTCGAGAGTTTAAAGTTTAAGTACATTTTAAGTTATAGAGAGATTAAATTAGGTGTACATTAAAGAAAAACTTTTGTTTTTATAGATACAAATAAGTGTTAGTTAAAAACGGGCAATTTATGCATTTTTTCATTCTTTGTTTCATTTTTATCGTATATAAATTTAATAACTATAATTTATAATATATTTAACCTTTATGCTCGAGCGTTATATTTAAGAAAAAAAGAAAAGTTAAATAAATTTTTACAGATTTACGGGTAGATATGAGAAAATTGTAATCCGTGCCAATACTTATGTTCGGAACTGTATATATAGATGCATATATAAAGGATGTCCCAGTTTATTTCCATAAAATTTTACCAGCATATTTTATAAGTAAAAATAAGACTAAAATGTTACGCAAACATGTGGACACATAAATGTTTTATTCGATAGTTAAGATAAAAATACGAAATGACAACGGACTGAGTTCTCAATCGTCGGTTCAAATTATCATTCCATTTCAAAATGTTATGAGTTATTATAAACGCATTATTGGCATTTACAGAAGAATAGAATTTATTGCATTATTAATTTTTCTTCTTCATTGTCTTTAATTGTAATAAATATATCGGAAATCCTTTGTATTTATTACCGACTCGTATTACTTTGTATTTAATTAACTTTCTCTTTCGTTGTTTCTCACAAGTAAAAATCCATTAACGTGATATTGGGAGAGCCAAGAAATTGGTTCTTCCCGACTTATCCATCGTTCGGGGTTATTTAATGGTTATTGTATTGGTAGCGCATAATGTATTGGACAACTATTTAATTGAATGCATAAATATTTTCATGAAATAATAATAGAATATTTTCTACTAATTTTGGCTGCAATATATACTTATTTGTAGGAAATTAAAAAAAGATGTTAAAAGTGAGGTCCAAATATGTTATCGTTATATATTCAAATAGATATCGGCAATGTACTCATATTTCGTGTCAACGAAACATCGGTCCGTTATTATTTTGTATTTTTATTATATTATACATTTTTAATGAAACATTTAAGAGCCCATTATTTATGGGACAGTTTTTTGTTTATTTTATTTTATAGAATATGATGATAAAATTAAACAGAATAAATTGGGAAATCCAGTATATTTTTATGTATAGTATTATGCATTTAGTGAGATATATTTATTATTACTTATCGTTTCACCCATTGACAGTTCGAGACGTTCAGCGTCTGTTAAAACGTTTACGTTTTTTATTATTATATCCTTGAATATTTCTTGATCGTATACGTTTATATTCTGCGATATAGGTAAAAAGAAATGAAGTGCTTCGAGGGTTCTTTGTAAAACGATTTTGTCGAATAATAAAATAAACCTTTTTGTGTTACCTTAATATTCAAATTGTGTATCTCCCAGAGGAAATTATTAATATTACTTAATATGATCACTTCATCCTGTAATCCCATCCATATATCTGCTAGGTCGATGAACTGTGGCTATTAGAATAGAGATATAATGATAAGATGATAAGAAAAACAAAGTTTCATTGATCCAATATTAGTCGAATTAGTTTTAATACAGTTTTTTTCTTATATAATTGTTCGCTAATTAAAAACGTTCTTGCCATTTTTAAGTTTGCGTTTATCGTTTCCTTTTTACTATATAAAATAGCAAGAACTTTCTTCCTTACCTAATACTATTTTTTCTTATTTACAACTTACATAAACTTGAGTTGTTGGAATGGCTGTCTTGTAACGCATCGTTTCATGAAGTTTCGCCAGACGTTGTTGCAGATGTTCGATCAGATTTTTTATAATATTCCCACTGTGCTCTACGTCGGACAGTAATTTTCTATAGGATAAAGATTTGAAAAAAAATAATATTTTTTTTTGTATAACATAATATTGATGATTTTTAGATTTTTATACGTGCCTGATATATATTTCCTGTTGACGAGATGCCGTTAAAATTTCAATTGCCCATTTGAAATTATCTTCTTTAATGTTTTCAGGTAAAATTAATTTCTGTATACTCGAGTAACATATATCGTCGTCCTCGTTTATCACTATTGAAGAAATGATTTTTTCTATGACATCAGTGAATTCGTAAACCTTTGTCATTAACCGTTCCAATAATTCGAGGATATTGTCGTACGTTTTTTTGACCGAATCTTGTAAAATACTTGGAACTATAAGAAATACAAAATTATCCTTCATAAGAAAAGATTTCATTATAAAATGTTAATGCATAGATGCTTTTTTTTTTTTTTTAAGTAGGATGAGCCCATTTACAGCTCACAAAAACCTTGTTTTTCTTTAATAGTATAATTATTTCTGATTGGATAATAAAATTTGACGTAAAACATTACATGAATTCAATAATTAGCAATACTTTTAAAACTGATTCAATCGCAAACCTTCAAATATCTTAAAATAAGAATTAAATGGACTTATAACAATTTAAATAAAAAAAAAAATGGATTAATCTTTTCTTCTCACGATCATCGATCTCTTTTCCACCACGTTGACAATCTCGATTAAATAAACGTATACCGGCAACTATACACATCAATTCCATAAGCTGTTTTTCCTTTTCGTGTTTTGGAAGATTAACATAATTTGATAACTCAGATGGTTGAAATACACTTTGCAATGCTGCAGTTACTTCTCTGAAATGTAAGTTTTATTTAATATTTTTATTTTTCTTGATTAAAGGAGAGAGAGAGAGATTGTACCTTAAAGAGAATAATTTAGTTTTACCGTAAAGTGTTCGTTACTGCTGGATTACCGAGTCCACTTAAAAGGGTAATAACTAGAATCATTTTCTGATAGAGTTTTTCCATTTCTTGATCATTGTTAATTTTATTCGTTTTACAAATTTCAGTGACCAATGGGTTTGTTTTACGATGAAGACTTAGCCTATGTTTTTTAATGATTTCGTCTAATGAAATCCGATTTGAATTATTTTTCAAATAGAGATAGACAATTAACGAAAGTAATGACAAAAATGAGATCAAGTTAGGCAGAAATTTAACAATCCTAAGAGTGAGAACAAAATTAATTTAAAATAGTAAGGAGCCCATAATTTTGTGAGCTTTATTTAAAAGTAAATTACATTATAGAATTATTTAAAAAATTAAGCCATAATCCAATTTAGATTTATAAAAAGAATAATTAGTTCAATTTTAAATAATATTTATTATACTATTCACTATTAAGCAATCCATTAAAAAATATATTATGAAACATAAAACAATAAAATAAAAGAAAATAAAATACTCAATATAAATAAATATATTGTATTTTCTTTTTGTTAAATTCAAATGTTCAATCGAGGGTTAGTAACTTTTCGCATAACTTGATCTATAATTGGATAAATAGCAACCTCTTTCACGATAATGTTTAGCATAATATAATTGATTTTTTAATGTCGTCAAACTTGGTCTATCTTGATCCCGCAATTTTTCTTTGATTACTTGAATCACTTTTTTATGACTTATCTCGTCATCTTCCATAAATTGATAAATTGGATTTAATTGTGTCAGCGACAGCTATTAACATAATTTAATAATAAACAAAATGCGAGGTTAATTTATTTATATTAAATGAAAAAACTTACCAAGAAGGAAACTAAATCGTTGGTCACGTGTATGTCATTACTTTTACATTCGTATATAATCTTTTTTATTAAAATCTTTCGTATGTTATCCATTATTCAACACAATCAATTAATAAAATTAAAGAACCGATTAATAAAATAATTATACTTTTTTAACAATCTGGTATATGGTTACGAGAATGTGTCAAACTGTTTGCGCTCTTAGTTTGATCAATTTTTGTTTGGAAACGGTGGAAAATCGATATATATATATATATATATACATTTGCTGGTATAATCGTGATAGTAAATAAAATAAAAAAAAAAGGAAAGAAATATTGATTTTATATTTATCTTATACTATAATTATTTATATTACAAAAAAAATCATAAAATGAATATATAAAATTCTTACAATTATTGACACATATATACAAGTTATCCCATGGGGTTTTCTTCCTCAACATTTTACCAGCTTGTTCTATAAGTAAAAATAAGTAAATAATATTCTAATATAAATACGAAATGATAACGGACACTGATGTGCCATTAAAATATAATAATAATGAAAAATTTCTATTTGAATATTTTAAATAATTTTATTATTTATCGGAAATTAATCTTATTTTTCTATATTAATTTTATTTCGTATAATACGAATTTTCTTAAAACTTTATTTCTTAATAACTTAATTACTTCGTTATATTATTAGTTTACTTATATTCAGAACTATGTATAATTCGAATCTCGCGCAATTGAAGTATTAAGAGATTCGGAAGTTATCGGGTAGAATCGGGTATGTTCGTAAGATAAGATCGTTCGATAGGCTGGCGTAGTAGAGGTGATAGAGACTTCAGAGGTGTCGCAACAGTCAGCGTAGTCGGAGTAGTCGGACGTGGTGGCTGGTACGGTGTGGTGTTTCTTCGCGTCGCGTTGAAAAAAGTTAAGGTGACTCGTGTTTAAAGGTAACAAAACATAAATGTGCGAAACGTTAAACGAACGATGATAGCGTGAAATAATAAATTTCTTAATAATAATTAATCGCGTGTTAATTCTGGAGGACGTTTTAACGGCAAGAAGTTAACATGATTAGTGATACTTTGTGCTACTTGAACTACCGTTTCTTCTTACCAAGTGTTTCGATGGTGCGGTGCAAATCGGTGCTCTTGCTTTTCATTTTTCTCATCATCGTCGTTGCAGCTTATACCGAAAGTCAAGGTAAATTTATTTATTTTTATTTTTATTTTTAATTTATATTATTATACGTATGTATATTTTTGTATAGATGTATTTATTTATATTTATATTTATTATGTAGATAGATAGATTTATTTATTGACAGCTTGATGGACCAGTAATTGTTATTTATTATGTATGTTATATGTTTGTATTTTTATTTTTGTT